AAGAGTGTGAGTGTGTAAGAGAGAGAGATCCTGTCATGCCATGATCCTCTGCCCCCAGTCCTCCAGTCAGTCAGGATCTTGGGCACATGCTCGACTGGTGTGTCTCAGGTCAACTCGGGGTCACCTGAACCCACGGTCAGTCACCATGTGGCTTCCAGCACTGTGGTCAGTATGCTGCTGCCTGCACCCCGCAGTTGCCCTGGACCCCACCTTCTGAACTTACACTGCCCTTTGAAGCCTACGCACCTTTCAGCGATCCCATGCGAATGCTCATGTGTGTGCACGTGTGCATCTTTGCACACACCTGTACACAAGTGGGCGTGTGTTTCTCTGTCCCGAGCTGACCGTGCCTTGGCCCACAGCTTCCTCATCCTCCTCCACCTGATTGCCCTGGCCCTGTCTCCACACCTTCCCCTCCTCTGTCCTCCCTGTGAACCGCGTCGCCCTAAGTCCCACCTCAGTTTCGTCATTGCCCGATGCACCCGGCTGACAGAAGTGCTGATCTTGTCACACCCAGCAGCTGCGTGCAGAAATGCTACTGCAAGCCACAGCGGGCTCAGCAGCACTCTTGCAAGATGTCAGAACTGTCCACCATTACTCTGTAAGTGTGCGTGGCCGTGGCTGTGGCCGGGTGTCCGGAGGGAGGGGGACGCATGCTGCCCCTGCCGCTGCCGCCGCCTCGAGCTTGCGTCCCTCCAGGCTGGAGGAGAGTGGAGAGCCACCCTGTGCCTCGCACCCAACCCTGTTCCCCAGCTGTTGCATGTTGACGTCTTGTGTCTTGTGAGTTCTCTGCAAGCTCATGGCCGTGGGGTGGGAGGGTGGGGTCTGGGGCTGGAGCGGCGACCTCTGTGGGAGCTTCCCGGGGCTCACCGTCAGAGGAAGGAGCCCCACAGTCTCTGCCACTTCGCTGGGCCTCAGTCTCGGCAGCTGTGGAGTCACTTCTAGAGCTGTAGAGCGCGAGTTCATATAGGCCCTCCTTCCTGCGTGTCCTTGGCGCGCCATGCGCAAGTCAGCATTAACTCACTTGACCCCACGACAGTCTTTCGAGTTGGTCTTTGTGCTGTCTCCTTACTGACGAGGAAACCGAAGCACAGAGCAGTGGAGTGACTCAGTCAAGGCCACATTCTTGACAGAGTGGGGATTTGAACTCAGGGAGTCCCAAGCCCTGCCCCACGGTGTCTCTGACCTGAGCACCAGCCTCAGTTCAGACATCCAGATTACAGCCCCTGCCTCCCTGGGCAGCTCTGGGTGTCGGGTGCTCTCCTTGGTGTGTAGGACTCTTCTGTCTGCCTGGTGGTGGTTCCTTGGGTCAGGAGGACAGAGGCCTAGCCCTGTATCACTGTCTCTATCATTGAGATCCTAGGGCGGGGCTCGTATCTGTTCCCATCCCAAGGCCAGCTCTGGTCAGCTCCAAGGCACAAGCGCCCAGACTCTTGGGCTCTCCCCATGGCCCCGTCTGCTGGAGGGGCGACCGGGCTGCCCAGATCCTGGCAGAAGTCCCGGCTGTGCTGGGCTGCTGCAGGGTCGGAAGAGGAGGGTGCTGCCCCTGGACCTGTCTGTGGGAGGCCCTCGCTACTGTCAGCACATCCGTCCTGCGCTGGGAAGGGCCCGAGTCTGTGCCTGAATGGTCGCTTTTTCTTGCACGCTGAACCCGACATGTCTATTGTCACCCTGGAAGCTGTGGAGGATTAACCCCTAGGTTTCCAGGCCCCTTGCAGACTGCAGGGACACGTGCCTGGAAATGGTCCCATTTGTGGGAGAAAGGCAGGGATCACTCTTCAAGGCCACCTTTCATTTCTGGGTCTTTTACAATACTCCCTTCAGGCAGGGCCACAGAGGAGCCCCCGTGTACTCCTGGCCTCGGCCCTTTGCTTCTCTGGCTTCCATGCCTCTGCAAACATTCCCTGCTGCCTCTGTGCCAGGCACCGGGCATACAGAGATGAGTGAGACCTCCAGGAGGTGTTCAGTTTTAGGGACTCGAGGCTGTGGTGCCAGGCCTGTGTGGTCCGATACTGTTCATGCACAAGCATTTCCTGAGGGACAGCCCTGTGCTGGGTGAGGGCTTGCCTCTGAGGAGAATGGAGATAACCAAGACTCTCCTCTGCCTGCCGGGAATGCAGTCCGAGAGGGACAGGCAGGACTGAGAGGATGGGCCTGGAGCAAGGACCTTCTTGGATCTTCTTGGTCCCAGCTCTGGTCCAGGGACCCCGGGACCTGTGGAATGTGCCACCTGTGGTTAGGGAGGGAATGGGTGAGCACTCACACCTCAGGGCCTCTTCCGGGCCAGGCTGACCTTCCTGCAGGCCTCCTCAGGGTACACCTCCTCCTTCCTCTGTGTCTGCCCTCCTCCTCCGACCCCTTCCCCTTCCCTCCTCTCTCCGTAGAGACTAGAAGCTATGATCTCACATTGGGCCATGGATTTGGTTTCTCTAGAAATCTGGAGCCCCCACATCCCACAGAACATCCGCTCCCACAGAAGCTGGGTTAGGGGAGAGGGAGGGACTCAGTGTGAAATCAACCTCTTCCCCATGGCTTTCATGCACGCTGTAGGTCAAGCCCTGCTAGGAGGGGTGAGCTGACCCTCTGCAGGCGTTGGGTTGGGTGCAGCTGCGGGCAGACTCAGGGGCAAGGTTGGGTTCTTTGGGAGAACACAGGGAGCCAGCAAGCTCGGTGGGCAGAGATGGGATCCCACCCTGGGAGCAGCCCTGGCAGCATCCCCTCCTCCACAGAGCAGGATCCTCAAGTCCACACTTGCCATCTTAACCATGGGCTTCTGTGCCTGCACCCTCAGAGCAACCACCTGCTCTCAGCCCAGGAGCAGTGGCAGGGGAGCCCTCCTCTGTGCCCCACTGCCCTACCGCAGAGCAGACACCCTGCCCGTCTCTACTCACTGTTTCCCAGGCAGAGTCAGTCCTCCGCAGAGTCCCTCCCGAGTCTCCCATTCTGCTCCACCACTGTAGCCTCCCTCCCTCCTTATCACTGCAACCTTCTGTCACTCTCAGTGACTGTCCTGCTAGCCCCAGACACAGCAAAGGCCCTGAGAACAGAGGGTCATTGCTCTTCTGAAGCCCGGCCACTCCCCTCGGACCTTGTGATCCACCCCTGTGCTTTGTCCCGACTTCTCTTTCCCCAGGATCTCGCATGTCACACAAGAGGGCCCTGTGGTCACATGTGCACGTTTCTAATGGTCTGGTAGGGTACGGAGGGGTGCCCTGCAGTGGGGGTGTCCCCCACAATCTCCTATAGAGTCCTGGAGGCCCAGGCTGTTGCGGCCACTACCTCACCCAGGCCCCTTGCTCTGGGCAAGAATGCTGGGGGGTATCTGTGGACAGAGCCCTAGACTTGGGCTCTAGCCCCATGCTCTGGCAGCGCCTGGAGCAGTTGTCCTGCTTTCTCCCGACAGACGGCTAGCTCGGTCCACCCTGCTTCTCATCCCGCTCTTTGGAATCCACTACACGGTATTCGCCTTCTCCCCGGAGAACGTCAGCAAGCGAGAAAGACTCGTGTTTGAGCTGGGGCTGGGCTCCTTCCAGGTGGGCACAGCATGCGTGGACGGCAGAATGCCCAGGGAGCTGGGGCCTGGGTTCCTCTCCTCCTTCCTCTGGGTCTCCTCCGTCCCTCTTCCCCTCCCCTTCACTCTCACCTGCTGGGGTCCTGAGGCCTCTCTACCATGACCTCTGGGCTCAGGTAGAGGGCGAGGAGAGAAGGGAGTGGTGAGAGCCTGATGCTACCCACCCTCTGGGCTCCAGCAAGAAGGCACACTGGTGTCTGGATATCCCGGGCCAGGCCCCTGTGGGTGGTCTTAGATGGCAGTTCCCCCTCAGTCTGGGGTGCAAGAGCCCTGTGTGTCCACTTCCTGACTTTGGGCTGCTAGACCATGAGTGAGTACTGGCTTACCCAAGGTGGGGCCCCTCGCACAGGACCTGGCTACAGGGAGCTGAAGCTGGACACAGCAGACCGACACAGGAGGGCATGAGTGCATGAAGGAACAGAGCGTGGGGTGTGAACCAGTGCTCAAGTGAACCCTAGTGAGGACATGGGCAGGTGGGGGCAGCAGTGGGTCACTGATGGCAGGGATGGCTCCCTGGAGGACTCTGGGATAGCGTGCCTCTTTCTAAGCCAGTAAGTTAGCGTCTGACCTTGATGGTCAGAAAGCTTCTCTGCATCTGACTTGAACCTCCCTCTGCCCCCGTTTTAACTCGGCCATTTCACATGATTCAGGTTCTCGGCCTGGTGAGGCTAGCCGTTTTATAAACAAAGCCCAGCCCAATGTCAGAGCTCAGGGCTCCTGCCACTGTGTTCACTGATGGATCTTGAGCACCTTGAATCATCTGTCCTCTGACTCCTTCAAGTGACAGCACAGGGATGGGGTTTGTGAGGAATTGGGTTGCAGCAGTCAGGGAAATGCCATTGCTTTGTTTGCTGGAGATGTAAGGAATATATACACGCACTATGCCCCCTGTCTTTATTCCACGGGCTGTTCTGTGTTGCCGTGTACAAGACCCCTGGCCAAGGAGGGCCAAGTGGGTAGGGGGTGATGGACGGACAATGCAGGCCTGCTCTGTCCTGGAGGGCCCCTGCTCTCAGCAACCTGCAGGCTGGTTGGGGAGCCCAGGGAACATTTTGGGGCATTCAGAAGGCTTCTTGGAAGTGGGATAACACCTGCCTTTGCAAATGGGAAGATTTGACTAAGGGAATATAACATCCAGGGCCCCGGCTGTCCAGTGGGAAGGGACTCACCCACCAGCTGGCTTCCTGGGTGTCCCCATTATTGATAGAGCAGAACTTGCCTCGTGTCACCCCAGGTCCCTGGGCAGGTGCCCCCATGCAGTCTTGGTGTCTTTGTCACCCACCCCGTCCCTCCCCACATAGCATTTCGGGGGTCCATTACCAGCACCCTCAGGTTCACTTGCTTCTCTCCCTAGGGCTTCGTGGTAGCGGTTCTCTACTGCTTTCTGAATGGGGAGGTAAGATCTGACTCTCAGGCATCTCAACCATGGACGGGGGCTTGCTGGGGAGCAGATGCAGGGTGGGCCTGCTGGCCACATGGCTTATTCCCCAGACCCTGGGAGGAGACTGGAACCCAACAGTGGTACTCCATCTCCAGAGCTGTGGTTTGGGGGCTCCCTCTGTAGCTTATTGGGGTGATGTTCCTGAAGAGACCAGAATAGAGGTGCTGGGGCAGGAGGGGTAGGGTAGGTAGGATGGGTTTGGAGAGGTCTTAGCTGCATGGCCACATGACCTGACAGGGTCCCCTTCCTTGCATCTAAGGAACAAGACAACTGGGCTCAGCGATTTACCAATACCACCGATGAAGGGACAGATGAGGACAGATAAGGAGAGGCAGGAGGGCCTTGCAGACAGAAGCTTGGAGGGCCAACAAGTGGGAGTAGCTCATCACCAGCCTGCAGTGGCAGTGGGAATGGGAGGTAGGGCACAGAGGCCAGGTGCGAGTGCCAGCTCCTCAGAGGCCTTCCCTCCTGCTGGTAGGGTAGCGGGTGCAGTTCCCCACCGATGACTTTGAGGACTGGAGGCTGCTATTGGTAGTGAGCAGGGTGGTGGAGGGATGCCAGCTGGGAAGGACCTCAGGCCTTTGCAGTGTCCGGTGGCTGGAGAGGATGTCCACCCTAAGTGACTGCCTGAGTTGCTCCCTGCAGGTGCAGGCAGAGATCAAGCGGAAATGGCGGAGCTGGAAGGTGAACCGATACTTCGCTGTGGACTTCAAGCACCGGCACCCGTCCCTGGCCAGCAGCGGGGTGAACGGGGGCACCCAGCTCTCCATCCTGAGCAAGAGCAGCTCCCAGATCCGCATGTCCGGCCTCCCGGCTGACAACCTAGCCACCTGAGCCCGCCTGTCCTCCTCTCCTCCACACC